ACATCATTGTATAGATTAGGTTTTTTGTAAAAAACAATTTGTATTAATTTTTTTTTTATTTATAAATTATTTTTGAATTTAAATTCAAATTTTTTCTATTTTTAATTTTTTGATTATTTTAAAATTTCATTAATTAAATTAAAATCGAATTAAATAATTAATTTATAAATCGACGTAAATTCGTCGTAAATTTACGTCGATTTACCGTCGAATATTTAACGACGAATTTACGACGAATAAGTTTACGTCGGCTTTACGTCGAAACTTTACGACGATTTAACATCGACAATTAAAAATTTAGTTTCCCTTAATTTTACATCGATTTTACGTCATTTTTATGATGGAGTTCTTTCGTTGTACATCCGTTGGAAATTTTATGACGCATTTACGACGATTTTACGACGATTTTCCGGAGTTGGTAATTTTACGACGATTTTACGACGATTTCGGTTTTACGACGATCGTTTTACGACGATTTTTAATTCGTCGTTAATCCGACGTAAATGCTCTTTTACGTCGATTTTACGTTGATATCTGCCGACGTAAAAGCCGATCTTTCTTGTAGTGTATGCTCTACCGGATTTTGCTGCTGAATTTGGCGAACCATTGCCAAATGTTACTGAAGAACCTCTTTTGCTGGCTTACAAAGGATCCAGAGGACGAAAAAACGTCAAAGCCAACATGCTAAAACAGGTACTGTATTAGTGTAGTAGACTTCTATGTAGTAATGAGTTTTCAATGTAGACTTCAGAAGTAGACTTCATGTGTAGACTTCTATATGTATAATTAATAGTGTTTGACATTCAAGAGTAGACTTCTGTGTTAGACTTCAAGAGTAGACTTCATTGTTAGACTTCAGGAGTAGACTTCATACGTAGTTTTCCGAGGCTTCATATGGCTCTAAATCCATTTATTAATTGTGTTTTTCCAGGCTCGCATACAGTCCTGTGTGGCTAAGGACTTGGCGGATATGTTTCCCGTGTGGGATGATGACGAACAGGATCCAGATATTGTCAAGATTGTCAATGCACTCCATGACCCCAATTTCAAGTTCTCAAAAAACCATTGGCCTTTGGAAGGTGTTTTGAGTGCACACATCGTCAAATCAGAAGCCGGAAAGAGGAGCCTTTCCTCAGATGAATCAAGTCGCAAGAGACCCTGCACAGCCTCTGCATCTGCCGCATCATTCGTTGGTGATGAAGGGGTCGGAGTTGTCGCTACTATGAAAGCGCACTTCGACCAATGCTTCAAAAGCTTTTCAACCAAGATGCTGAATGGTCTTGGTAGCTGTGAAAAGCAGATCAAACTTCTCACCGAGTCACACTGAGGAAGAGCCAACCCAGCAGCAGGGCACTGGATCCAAGAAGCATGAAGGGGTTAGTTCCAAAAACCCTCCGCCTATACGAAAACATTACATGCGAACAAGATCACACAAAGTTAGGAACACTTAATACTAATGTCATTTGAATTCGAACATGTTTACTACTGTTATGTACCATGTGTGATTATTTACTTATGTTTTCAAAACTTGATGTTTACAATTTTCAGACTATGATAAAACATGTTACTAAATTATAGCATTGGTGTACTCATTTGTATGTTCATGCATGTTTCTGACAACAAACTGCAAAGTAATTCAGAGAAAGATGATGCTCCGATGAAAGCTAATGTCAACGTTGGTGCGTGTGAGAGTGTTAACGCCCCCGGGGATGCAAAAGGAAAGAAGGCTGCCGTGAAGGAAGAAGAGGCCCCAAAGCCTAGTATTTGTGAAATTGACCCGAAGACGTGTGATGTTGACTTCGACGCGGTTGCACTTGCCAAAAATGCCAAAGCCAGAGAAGCGGCTCAGCTAGTTGCCCGAGCAACGAGTGCCAGATACCGCCAGCTGGCTGCGACACAGAAGAGTCCCTTCTTAGGAAACAGCACCGCAAAGGCCATCATTCCATCGTCGGCATCTCACTCCGGCCGTGCCCATGGATATGATTCTTTTGATCAAACCGGTGTCAGGGCGAAGCATATCACTCTAATGAACTTTATCAAATCAAACCCGTAAGTAGACTTCTATACGTATGTAAGTAGACTTCCTCATAGTATTATTTCCTATCTAACTCTTTCACTTGTACAGTGCCTGGCCAAAACGCCCAAGACACTCTTCGATTGATTGGTATACATTCTCCGGACACCGACGAAATGGCTAGCTGATACGGTTAGTGTTTTACTTTCTCATAGTAGACTTCGTGTTTAGACTTCTTCCGTAGACTTCTATAATAGACTTCGTTTGCAGACTTCACTCATTTCTTATTTTCCTCAATGTGCAGCACATGGAAGCTTACATCAACCTACTCAGGCTGCGATTATCCAAGCATCCGGAGTGGTTTGTATCCGACCGGATTTGCTTCCTCAACTCCATGTTTGCTACTGTTTGGAGGCGTGACTACGAAGCCTTCAAACAATCCGAGCCGAATGCAGATGGGTCTGGCAAACTTCTACCGCCTGGAGCATATTCGTACTACACTGGCCAATTACCTATCTACTGCCAGACTAAGAAAACGTGGACATATGATGTCGACTATTTGTACTCCATGTTGCACATTAGGGAGGACCATTGGGTAGCAATATGGGTCTCATTTGTGACGAAGCATATCACGGTATGGGATAGCCATAAGGCAACCAAACATGCATCTGACGAACAAATTGTTGAAGCTGTGGAGCCTCTTGCGGTTATGATACCCTACCTTCTTCAGACTTGTGCACCTGACGATGACAAGTGGAGATTCCCCTACACACCGCTCACCCATTCGCGAGTACCAGGTACGGAGATACCTCAAAACATTCAGAGTGGTGATTGCGGAGTGTACTGCCTGAAGTACATCGAGTGTCATGCATTGGATTTACCATTTCCTCTGGAACTTTGCGATAAAAACATGCGAAAAATCAGGGAGAAAATGGCTGCAGAGCTCTATGACGAAACAGGATGTAAGGGCCATGATAAGCTAGATGCAACCGGGCTGGATGTCTATGATAGGCAAGCTTAGTGTTTCAATTCTTAAAACTAACTTTGATTTTTATGGCAACTTTTGGGCTACTTGCATAAATGACCTTCAATGTGATTGGAGGTCATTTTAGCAATTGGTAGATGATAGGTGTGGAAGTTTTTTTGCCACCTATCTCATAATTAACTTGCCAAATATGTTGTATTTTCGTTTAGGATATTGTACTCAAACTGAAGTCTACGACTGAAGTCTTTGACTGAAGTCTACTAAGTTGTAATTGTATCTGTACTGAAGTCTACTAAGTCTATTAACATGTTAGTATTTCTAATTTTCGATTTCACCCTTACAACTGATTAAGTTCTGTAATTTTTGAGTATACCAAAAAGTGTATACGGAAAAAGTGTATACGGAAAAAGTGTACACCGATAGTGTACACGGAAAAAGTTTTATTAAAATAAGAATTATAAGTTTACAAACGAAGTCTACCATAGTCATGTAAACATATAAGTAAACCCAAAAAACATAAAACATGGAGTTTCTCTAATTTCACCGCGGTCATTCATTTGCAAATCCAGGAATTGTTTTTCAGAATAAGGCACATTCCAACTTCCAGAAGCACGAACTGCAGAGTTTGTCACCATATGAGTCCACGAGGCGTTCATCATCCATCCAGTGCTGGTTTGGCAGATTCATACAAGCACAACTCCTTGATTGTGCCTTATCAAAAACATGGAAGACCGGTTCGTGAAACGCGTCAGGCTTCTTATAAGTGGTCGGACACCTGTTTATGTGCTGCATAGTCTTCCTCATCTTCGTTGCCTCTGCCGGAACTATACCACGAATGTGGTTAAATACATCATGGCTACCATCCATGGTTAAAGAGAACATAACCATGGAGTAAGTAGCCATGAGGCATCCTCCATTTGATGACACCTTTATTAAGTCAAATCCTTCTTGGATGCTATCTTCATAGAAGATTAGAGAAACGGCTCGTAGGTATTGCGCTGTAGGATTTCAACACTCCAAACAGCGCCGAAAGAAAGCGTCAACCCTCCCATGTTGATCCCAGACCCATGGAATCGTCAAAGTTATTAGATCAACGGCTCTTAAAAAATCCTCTTCATTAGAAATCTCATTTAGATGTTTGGAGGAAACCCTTTTTCTACAGAGCCCACCGTAGGAACGAGAAGTTATTTTTAAGAGGATATCCCACAGAATGTCGGAAGGGAGAGAGTTAAAGTTTATCGGGTTCGACATCTTCAAAGGGTCTGGAATGAGCCTATAATTCGTCTAAACCCGAGAATTTATAAGCAGAAATACAGAACACTAACAGGTACAACAGTTATACGCACCGTTAAAGTCGTTAAAACAGTTACATATATGAAGTCGTTTCAAACATAACCGTTGTACCTAAATATCACATACATAGTAGACTTCCCCAATAGACTTCTAAAGTTGACTTCCAAAGCAGACTTCTTTGAGAACAATAGATGCTTTGTCTTCCTATTCCGGAGCCTTTTTGTTATTATCTTGGTGAATCTTTGACGGCTAAGTATATTAAATAAAAATTGCAACATTGTTAGATGAGTTTAGCTCAACTTACACAATTCGGAAGGGTATGACCAGGTTGCTTGCATTGGGAGCAGATGTATACTTTGTGCAGCTTCCTTGGCTTCTTGCTTTTCCTCCTAGCAATTTCTAGCCATGATTTCCACCGAGACTTCTTCCGTCTGCCTGGTGCACGGCGAATGTCTGGTGGCAGACATATTGATGTTGGGCCTCCCTGGACCTCTGAAATTTGGGGATATATATTGGCAGAGTATGCGGTAAACAAGTAGTTTTTTGAGTAAGTCGGACATACAAGGGAATCCACAGCTATCCCACCGGCTAATGCAGCTGCAATAGCATGTGAACATGGGATCTTCTCGATATAAAACACACCACATTCACACATTCCATGTTCCAAATCAACAATACAATTCCTGGTTCCTCCTTTCACATAGTATCTCAAGTGTCAATTCGGTCCACCTCCATTGCATCTGCATAATGTCCACGAATCGCCAGCAAATACTCCACTCCCCGAGTATTATGTGTTGTGAGACTCAAAGCATCCTCTCTGCGTTTTAAAAACCACTGACCGAGCTTCTCTCGTATGAAATCCAAGAGGAATGAAATGAGATAGCCACGGGCCTTCTTAAGTGCAGCATTTATAGACTCTGCAACATTGCTAGTCTTAATATTGTATCTGTCTCCAACAAAATGAACTCGGGACCAAAGAGAGACATCGGCTTCTTCCAAATAGTCAGCAAGGTCAGGCTTGATCTGTCTCAGCTCCGCCATGTACCGGTTGTAGTCATAAAGGTTGTAAGCATAAACCACACGTTTAACCAAGTACAGCAACTGCTTCCCCCTAAACTTTGTTACTATGTTATGTTGTAGATGGTAGTAGCAGATCCCTCGTTTTGCCCATGGGAAAATAGTTTCACAAGCTTTCTTAATAGAAATATGTCTGTCAGAAACTATCACCAAAGGATAACCATCTGAGACACATTCACGCAGTTTAGAAAAAAACCATTCCCATGAAGCATCATCTTCACCATCAACAATTCCAAAGGCCAATGGAAAAATCTGAAAGTTTCCATCTTGTGCGGTGGCAACCAACAAAGCACCCTCGTATTTCCCTATTAGATGACATCCATCAACCACAGTAACTCTTCTCATGTACTGAAAACCAGCAAGCGATGCTCCAAATGCGAGAAATAGATATTTGAATTTGTTATTCGAATCTACATGAAGAGCTGATACAGTTCCCGGATTGGCTTTGTTCACTGAATGTAGGTAAGCTGGGAGACTCGCATATCCATCTTCAGCTGTTCCCCTGACCAATTGTTGGGCATATATCAAAGATCTGTAAGAGGTAGTGTAATCCATCTTGATGCCAAACATATGCTTCATTGAAACCCTGACATGTTCTGGTGTAAGTCCATCAATGATGCCGAAATGGCTTATAAACAGCTTGCCAATATACTTAGGAGTAGACTTCCCACGGTGAGCCATTCGATGGGCTATTGAACATGTGTGGTCTTTCACATATTTTGTCACCCAAAAAGTGGATGCATCATTCTTCACGCTCGCTCTAACCATCCATGCACATCCTTCCACTCGACATTTAGCCACAAACAGGGTCTTGGTAGACTTCTGTGTTTTAAAAGCAAATTTTAACATTATGGCAGTCAGTCTAACCTCTGATAACAGCTTCTCTTTTGTAGGGAAACTTGCCCTAACATATATACTATCAGACCATGACATGGGCGTGCTCCCTGTTTCACCATATCGGTTTCTGACCTTTTCAATACAGACTTCATCTTCATCATCATCTTCATCTTTCACTTTACCGTAGATACTGTAATCTTCTCCGTCAGAGTAAGCTGCATCGTCGACATCTTCTCCCAGATGTTTTGGAGATGAAATTATGATAGAATGAGCAAGGTTATGAGTGAATAAGCTTAGATATTTGTTTTATTACAGCTTTAAAACTGGTTGATAAGCATTTATTCCATTTTCATGGTTGTTCATGGTGGTTGAAGGTATTGAAGATGATGGTATTCTCGTAATTAAAAAGTCTTTAGAAGGTCCAAGAAGACTTTAGCCAATTAAAGAAAAATCGAATTATTAGATGTATAATGGCATTTTCGTTAATAGTTTAAGTGGGAAGGATAAAATTGTGAGAAAATGGCAAAAGTTGGAGAGAGAAAAAAAGAGGTTAGTTTTGTGTTTGACTTTGAAATATGGGTTAAATCTGAAACTCTCCCTTTATTTATACCAATCTCTATATTATTATTTGAGTAGACATTTTAAAATATAACCTTAATTTTGTAAAATATTACATGATATGTCATTACAAATAACAAAAAATAATTAAAATAGGAAAGGATATAATTGTCTTTCAACTCTATTGCTAAAAATATGGAAAGTCTTTATTTCTCATTTAATAGAGTATATTTATTATTTAATTTCTAAATTCAAAAATCTTATAGTTTTTATTATTTCTATTTTCAAATGATATTATAAAGTATATTTAATTAAAAAACGTGAAAATAAATTTTTGAATTTAGAAATATTATAAAAGTCAAAATTAAAAGTTATGATATTAAAAAAGTGGTGAAGTGTTTTTTTCAATAATTTGTTATATTTGATTGATTATATACAAAAATATTTTTTTAGTTATTTTACTAAAAATTTGATATGAAAATTTGATTTTTAAATAAAAAAAGTTTGTAGTGAAATAAGAGTTATTAAACGGTGAATATTATAATTAATTATTAAATTTTAGTCCAATACAAATATGTTAAGTAAACGGGTTAGTTCGATATGAACAGATTATAATTTTAATTTTTTAATACCCACAAAAAAATTTTAAAATTCAAAATATTAATTTTTTAAAATAGGTAATATATTCAATCTACTAAATTATATATATTTTTAAATTAAATATAATTTGTTGTATATTTATTTATTATATATCAAACCTAAGTGTAAAGAATATTATATTATTTTCATATATAGTTAAAAAGATAAAATTAAATTTTTATATTTAGTGAACAGATTATAAATGTCAATTATTAAACTATGTAAATTAGAGTTAATGATTATAATATTATAATTTTTATATAATAGTCTAGATAATATTTTAGTTTAGTGCCAACGGGTTTAAAACAACTTATTTTGCTTTACACGCTTATAAAATAACTTCATATACGGATTAACTTATTTTTTATAATTCAAAAAAAATATATATATATATATAGATCAACTCATTATTTAAAATTCACAAAAATATGCACTATATTACTGTAAACTTTATAACAATAACTGTTTTTACAAAATAACTGTTTTCATCAAATTATTTAAATTAATTAAAGATTAAAAATATATCTCCGCGCTATAGCGCGGGTTAATCCCTAGTACAAAATTAATACATGTTGACATGTTTTGTTGTTTGTTTCGTAATTAGCAATTAAATATCGTTTGTTTCGTAATTAGCAATTAAATATCTTTTGCTTCGTAGTAGTTAGTTTTAGTTTTGGCTTTCAAACGTCTACGATTATCGATAAAAAGATAAAAAAGGTTAAGTAGCTTAATTTTTTTCGAGTTCAATAAATTTAACGTATTGTTGTCGCCAGCAACTACGGAAAACACATGTTCAATCACTGAAAACCAACTACAAAGGAAACGAACTAGGCCAGGCTCGATCATATGTGTATTTTTGAATTCACCATTGGTAACTATGAAGAAGCGTGAAAGCAAAGATTTAGAATTGTGGAATTAGTCTCCTCGAGAACATGTATCTTCTTGTTGCAGTGGACATTTGTAAATATCAAGAAATAATTGTCTTTCTTTCTTTTCATGATTGCTTATACATTCAGAGACTATACAACACAACAACAAAGAGATCTACATTTCACACTGAACAAAATGGTAAGGGATGTTTATATACACTAGTCATATTCACACAAAAATAAAACAGAAGCAATCAACTTGGAGGTGATGATCGACCGTACTACCTCATCTCATAACTTACCACCACGTAGTGCGAACAGGTTAGAACCACTCAGCCATGCATTTAGGGTAAAGCTCACTCTCAGTAGCAATGGAGGAGAGGCCACGAAGCTCTTTCTGAACTTTCCGTCTCTCGTAAAAGACTGAGCACGCAAGAGAAGTGCATTTCACTCCGCATTCCACCACCCAGTCTCCCCCACCACAGTGTCTGCATATCTACAGATAATAAAATTAAGTTATGGACCAAGAAAGTTGGAAATGCATCTACACAAATTCACCAAGTTCTTGTTCAACAAATAGCCGGGCATTTCTTAAACAAGTCTCCACTCTTCAGCACAATATATTTTGCAGTTACCATGAGATGAAACAGTGCGTTCCAACTCAAACTGTGTGCAAGATTAAATGCAAATGCTCACGTCAGAAAGTGTAAAGGTTTTTCATGAAGCATGATTCACGATCTGTAAACAATTCATATAAGTGTTAGATTTTGGAGTACTTACTGTGGCTAGATGTTGCATCTCTCTCTCCAATTTCGTAGTCTTCCAAACAATGGTTGCAGCAGCAGCACTTTCATTTTTGAGGCACCGATTGCATAGCTGAGCAGATGCCTGAACAACTTCCCCACACAAGAAGCAATGTTTCGAGGGATAAAAGTAATCAATTCTAGCTTTGTGCGAGTTTCTAGAGTTTATGGGACGTTGACCAAGGGAGCTTCTTGTGGGACGGGGCATCTCCAAAAACCACTGGTTTAAGTCTGCACCCACAAGTCCAAATACCCTTTGCAGAGCTGGTATAATTTGTTTGTTGATGTAGTATAAGTCATTCAACCGGTAAGGCGAATCAATGTCCAAAAGAACCAGTGGGTCCACCACCATATCAACAAGTCGAGCTCCTGGCTCCCCATGGATCACAACATAAGGCACTCGTTCAGCATAGCGTGGTTCTGTCCGAGGGTCTGCTCTCATTGATTTGGTTGCCACAATAGCTGCTGGAGGGAGGAGTGAAGAGTCTCTTGTGCTATAAGTCCCCAACCGAACTTCTTTTGCAAAGATAAAATCTTGAAGTGACACTCTCCCTTGTAGTATCCGCTTCCACTGTCTATACAAGTATGACTTAACCTTCACAATGAAAAGAGAAGAGCAGGTATATAAGCCACTGCAGTTTTCAGCTGACAATTTTGAAAGAGCAAAAGAGAACAAACTTTTACCTTAGAGATGTTCTTTTTTTCAAAAAAGAGTCTCAATGACTGCTCCATAGTTTTTGCAACAGCTGCACAAGTGTCTCTTCGAACAGTTTCAATACCTTTTGCATCGAATATAGGTTCATTCTGATCGGGACTTTCATAACTGTACCCAACATACCGCTTTTTCGTAAGAAGGAAACAAGGTTGATAGACTTTCTCCATCTTTAGAGTGACTGGGTGTGGGTTCATTTCAGTTATTGCAGATGCAACCTCTTGTCCGACTACAAAAGCTTCTTTTACAGTTCGTCCTTTGAGAAGGACAAACATACTACACAAGTTATTAAAAAAGCATGAGGCAATACGGACGGAAGAAGCAAATAAAGAAACTGTGATGCACAATTCACTTCATCAAGATGAGTAGATATGGAAATTACCTATCGGTGTCGCCATATACAACTCTAGCGTTCCAATTTTCATTGGCATTGACGAACGAAATAGCCTTTTCAAGTGTGCTACGACCACACTGGACAATACTATCTGCCAGCTCTGCACAAGGCATTCGACCACTGAAGCCAGCAGCAGTATAGCCATAAGTCACATTTGCTATCAGCTTTAAAGCAAGCTGCCTCGCATTAAATATCTGAAAGAAAACACCGTACACCAAAAATATTGGAACCAAAAATCTTGTGTTACTCAGCCAATCATGGACTCTGATCAAGATAACCATACCCGGTGAAGAACTGCTTCTGACGGAGTCAACTTCTTCATTGCTTTTTTCACCATTATTCTTGTAGATAGAATTTCCTCTAGCAGCCTTGGTAAAATTCCTCTGCGCGCCTACATGTAAGAAGAGGAGGTGACTGTTACACTTAAGTTAATCAAGAAAAAGATGAGTCAACGCAGAAAAGAATGATACTACTGGGAACTGAGATCATTTTTTTTTTTTTGTATTGAATATCCTGAATTTAGATTCAAGATGCATATTACCTCTGATGGCACGTACATCACACTGTTTGGGGTCTGCAGGATCTGATTAAAATCGTGAAGAACATTAAGGTCCAGTGAGTATGAGCTGACCCCAAGGGTGTTCATCTTCAAATGTGCAAGTTTTCCGAGGCATGTGCAAAAGCACAGATTATATGCTATAATCATTGAAGGGTAAAGAGATTGAAAGTCCAACACAATAACAGGATCATCATAGAAGGCAGATTCTGGTTCCATCACAAGAGGTACACATTCCATAGCTGGCTGAGAAGCAACCTACAGGATCACTTGATTTAGTTAGAACAAAGCTAACGAGTAAGAAGGGCGTGAAAACATTATGGAGATTAACTGCAAGACATGTCATGAATGCTATCATAAGGAAAAAACAATCTATGGCGATAAAGGTATTAAAACGAGGTAGCGGAAAAAGCAAACCTGTTGGTTTCCTGGAGAGATAGCAAGATAATTTTGTGTATGTGCTAATCTCAGAAGCATGGATTCTACTCTGTATTGGGAACCTCGGGAGAGAACTGAGAAGAAGTCGATGCCAAAAACACGAGCAAGTTCTGACGTACGATTTATCTGCAAACAATGATTTAGTAAGATAAACAACTTGCACACAATTCACTTTACAAATCAAGTTGAAAATGCTACATACCATGTCAAGTTGGCTCATTATCTCAAGGTTCAGATTTGCTCGGCGAATCACATATTCTATGCATCGATATCGTGCACCCGCAGGACCACTTGAAAACCATTGCGTCAATACTTTATAAGGGATTGATGGAATCTTCTGCCTCAAAACAGCCTCCGACACAGCTTCAATCGTGTACATGTTGAGTTTCACTTCCCCGCGAATCAAACGCCATGCATTGAGAACAATTCTACCTCCAACATGAACACCACTAGCATGTGTGCGTCCCCACTCGTCCTCAATTACCACTTCTTCTACTTGAGCATGATCACTTAGCAACGGATCTGGCAGCAGATTATTACCAAGATTTCTCTTGTCTGAATCGTTTTTTGTGGTCGGAGATGGCGTCCTAGATATATTTTTGAGAAATCCAATACCAAGATGTGTAGCCCTTTCAGCTAGAAAACCAAGAGATCCACCCTGTATATCCCAGCCCACAAGAATATCTGGATCCCATTTACATAAAGTCTCAATAAAACAACTGAATAGTTGCTTCTCTTCAAGGAAGACAGACAACTTGCATCCAGATAGGCCATCAACATTTCTGTAGTAAGATAACAATATCGAAAAAAGAATATTAGAGTAAGAAAATGATTGAAGTTCATGATAGCATTACACGCATAATAAAAGCACGAATACATCAGCTGCAAAATTTCTAAGAACCCAGGGTATTTTACCTCTGATAAATCCTATCTGGACTAAATACTAGCACGAATACTTCAGCTGCAAAACTATTGTCATTCTGCACGACGAGAGCTATGACATTGACCGAATCAAATCGTGGATCAGGTCGCAGGTCTCCTCTAGACTCTGCATGAACCTGTACGTTTATAGATATTGACATGTATCAACGAAACTTTTCCCAGAGAACATCATCTTATTATATTAAGGGCATTCATTTTTACTACAGAAGGCATTTTAGTAACAGCATTAACAAAATATAATAGGCATGTTCATTCATCTCTAAAAGATGAGCAACATATATTACTTAATTAATTATTTCCTAAGACAAGCTTTAGAATTTGAAACCCTAAATGACCTGCACATTTGACTTTCTAACTCCAAATATCCTCAAGCATTGAACAAATGCTTACTTAAGTAATTGCAAAATCAACAAACATTATCTTGTTCGCTGTGAGGCTCGAGGAAGGTAAACTGTGGCATGGGACATTCATTCTTTTATAGTTGCGGTGAGCTTTATTACATGAAATGAGGATTTCACAGTCTCCATGACTAACCTATGTGTGCAAGCCATTTGATGGATCTTATTAGTTATGTGTGTAGCTTCACAAAAAAAGGGGTTAAGTTAAAGCACCTCTATACTCAGCACAGTAAGCTGTTGCCCAGCTCCCATGCTTGCAGGATCTCGGAATCCAATTTGACTTAAGGGAGTGGACCCTGATTTCCCCTCAGGAGCTGAAATCTGAGACATCTCTTGTGAAACACTGGTCTGCAAATTAAGGTTAAGAAACTTTCTTTTGCTTTCATGATCTATCTCAGACTCCGTATGAGCATTTGATTCTGAATTCACAAAAACGTTATTATGCTGCTCCACTTTCTCAAATACAGACATGACATTAGATGCAGACGCATGATCATCTCCTAGTGGTTGTTTTTCTGCATCAATAGTTAATTCTCCTGGACCTGGAAAAATTCAAACGTTACCATTAATTCCAGTTGCTTTTACAGCATCCAACACTGTAATGACTATTAATCAGGGACAGTAACAAGGCTTTAAGCAATGTATATTGAACTTTTGATAAGTCAGTGCCTTCCGGCTAACTCTACACAATACCTTTGTGATTCGATATCCATTGTGAAACAGAATCCACAGAAGGGGGTGAAAAGGCAGGGGTCAGTAGGTAAAGGTTGGAGCCGTCATTGAGATGATGCAAGGGAATACCGAGAGAAGCTCCTTGGAAAAAGTGTTTCTTTTCGTCCTCGTTGACTTCGGTGTCCTCCAACTGTTTGTCCCTGGCCTGATGAAATTGGACGGGACTTTCATGAGAATGTGAAGAACCCTGCAGTCCAGCACTAAGGCAATCGAGAGAAGGAGGCTTCTTGCTTAAGGTTAGGCATATTAACCTTCCTGTATCAACAATTACATTGGCAGTTGACTCTTGCTCATCCCCAGATTTTTGGACATTGTTTATATCATCAATCCCAACATGTTTGTTGCTAGACACCAATATTCCTGATTCCACAGTTTTTGATTCCTTACCAAGTGGAACAGTGGCAGATAAAAAATTCCTCGAAACTTCAGCATTGTTTTGACCTGCTGTCTCTTTAGCCGAACATCTATCAACAGAATGAAGTTCGGATGACTCATAATTTCCTGCATCTATAGGAGATAAAGTTTGAGGAGCATCGCCAAATGAACATCCAGTAACTTCTGCAGAAAGGGCAGGATCTTGTTTCTTGGCCTCATATCTCAAGGTAGCAATGCACTCCTTCCCGTCCCGAGAGTCTCTAGTCTGTGGCAAAACCTTCCTAACCTTTATATTTTGTGAAGCAGGCGAGCATGACCGCTTTTTTCTCATTAAGTCCCGCAGCGAACATCGAGCCAAAACGTTCCCGTCAATGGTGTTACAAACATCTGCTTGATGTTCTTTGACTGGAACATCAAGGCTGTCTTTCATCTCTTTCATGGGGTCGGAATCAATCTTTGTCAGACCAAGTTTATCACTAGCATTTGTACTGTCGAAGTCCTCTTGAAGATTTTTTGTCAACGAAAAAGGTAAAGGCCCCCATACAGATTTGGTAGGCTTGTTGCTCCTAGAGAAGCTCCTATTCTTATTCTCCATCACTTCACTCGTACGAAAATCACTTTTTCTGTATCTCTGGAATGAATTTTCGCTTGATGCAGTTGAAGTTGACATATTTGGAACATCACTAGAGACTTCTGTGTCAAGGGAATGTTTCCCTGATGAAGTTATAGGATTCTGGCTATCAAGATTAGTATGCAAAGCTCCTTTTGTCGAGCTCCCGAAGTCTGGTTGATCATCCTGGGAATCAAGAATGTCTTGACATTCCTTTTGGGATTGGCTCACATAATCTGTACTAGCCATTTCAAGAACCTTGTTAATGGACGCTAAAGGCAATAGAGGACTAAGGATGGTTTCTCGGAGAATTTCATCATCAGAGTTTATGTCCTCTGCCGCCTGGGATGAGGCAAACCACTTAAAGAGACCCAAGGCTTCAGCATCTTGTATTTCAGCAGGTGTATCTCTGTCAGTGGGCGTTTCCATTGATGCTTCTCCACTCCTCTCATCAAGGGGAGAAAGCTTTTCTGATGCAGGGAACTCACTCCCTGTATCAACCATCTGATTCAAAACCTGCAGATCCGTAGTCTCAGGTTTGACGTGCACATCTGAACCGGCTGAAGAAACTGCAGTAGGCTTCATATCATAAGGAGACAATCCAACTTCGCGATGCATTTCCTTTAGCATATTCTCAAACCCAGCATAATGTGACATAGTCTTCAGCACATCAGCTGCAGAGGGCTTTCCGGGATCAGGAGGTATAGGTGCATCATCCACACCAGTCCTTTCATACTCCTCCTGACACAAAGTTGACGAGGTTGGGTAAGGGAAGACCAACTAAATTACATCAACGTATAAAGCCAAGAAAGTTAGGATAAACCTCCCAAATTGCCACCAGCGACTGAACCATCTTAGTATCAGACTGGGCTTGTGAGAGGGAGTTGTACATTTTAAATTGTTGATTGAGAATATCTGCAAGAGAAGAAACTAGTTCAAAGGTCCGTTCATATATTCTGAAACAAAAACAATTATATTTAGTTTCAGGAAAATTACCACTAATAGTAGTATCTCCCTCAAGTTCACAGAGACTTTGACGTCTGCAATGGTGGCTATGTTGGCTCTGGCTAAACGGTGTATCAGATTCTTCAGAAATATTCCACATCCATTGACCAGGGATTGTTGACAAACTCCAAACAGGGAAATTGACGGTTGCAGCCGGACTTGAATCTGCCTGCTACATTATTTCAGTATTGTGAAATAAAAGTAGAAACTATCAGACAATATGTTTCCAAGCTGCAAGTATCTACCATTGAACTAGCCATTTCGTCAATCCCTTGTCCCACACATTCATCCAAGTCAAATCTCCTTGGACGGAAATGGTGAGGCACAGGGCTACGGAACTTCATCTTTGATATATGTACATGACCCATTCCATACAAATTATAGTCAACCTATCAAATCAAATTAAAGAAACTTCAGTAGTGGACTTTCAGGCACCAGTTTTAACCTCTCGAAAGTACTTAGTGTATTATATCAATCTGGAAGTTACGTCATATGTGAAATTGCTAAAACTAGATAAGAGTACCTAGTCGCTAAAGATTTCTTTTAAATACATAGCAACGACAAATTACCAGAAACTGGAGAATAAAAGGAATATGAGACTCGTAAGGCTGCAAGCTTTTACCAAGAACAGCACCTGCCTAGAGAGAGAGAGAAAACAAAACAAACGCTCATTACAAAAGGCAGATGAAAATGGTAATCAGGATACTATTTTCACTGAGAACAGTGGTGGAGTGGAATCATAAGAAGATATCATACCAGAAGAAGACTGGCAGCACGAGCCACATCGTGTGGATGGTAACTATTATACTATTAAGGTGAACAAATAATAAGAAAGGGTACTGCTCGAAAAGCAAATATACAGGATACAGATAAATCTTCACAAATGCCTCCTCCGTTGAATGGTATCCATAAAACTTCTTTGCTCTAACAATCTCACAATCATGGACATGTTGCCTTTTTGAAGCAGCGCTACCCTTAAGCTACAAGTCCATATCAAGTACAATCAGGGAGGAATACTGATTTAAGACACATTAGTGAGAACAAACAAAGTCGGAAACAAAAGAAAAAAAAAAACCATAAAACGCAGCTCATAGTCAAGAGTCAAAAGACCAAGAAATCACGGCTCACAATGTATGTATGTATGTATGTATGTAAAATACACACCTTTAAAGCCTTCTCCAACTCAAGTGATACAGCAGGTATATTTCCATCAACTGAAGCAGAGAAGAAAAAACACGAAAAATGTCATTGGTGCTTGACTAGCTAATTGCGGTACATGTTACCAAGGAATTGCTTCGTACCTCCTTTATGATGATCAAGAGGAATTTCAGAGCATGGAATGTAGAGATATGGAATAGCCTGCAAGAGAAAACACAAATAAGGAACTAGCAAACAACAAAATTTCTTAACAAGAAAGTAAAAATTATTTATCTTACACGATGAATGTGCAAGCAAGTCTTCTGACCAGCAGGTGTTGAGCCATAGATCCTTATAACAGGGACTTCGTTTACTTGGCCACCTTATATTGCCAAAAACAAATCAGATAGAACAAAGTCAAAAATTTGACATTTATCTAGTAAGAAGACTATACAACGACAATGGAGCACTATTTTTCATTTCCATGGTCTTCCCAACTATAAAAGTCAAAAATTTCTCAAACCTACAAACTCTAGTGAACCGTTTGATTCAACAAGCCGAAGACTTTACCTTGGAAGCTACTGTAGCAGATATCAAATCCAGGGATCGGAGAAGCCATGTAGTAATCGATCGAAACAATCCGTAGGCTAAAAACATTGGAACCCGACAGAGAATCAGCCATGGCTGCCTCTAAGACTTTGACCGGAACCGGAACCCCGAAATTGTTATTCCCGCCGGTGGATTCTCCACAGGGCTGGACAAAATCCGAAACCGACTAATCAAACCGACACAAACTGACCATTCAGTTTTTAAAATTTTTAAACCAAAACGGTTTTAGTTCGGTTTCACTTTGGTTTTTTTCCATTTATAATCAAACCACGGGGTAAAACATCAATTATTGGGCCGAATCAGTTAATGGGCCGGTCCAAACTTGTCCAAATAATGATATTATGTTTACGACAAACAATTTCATCCGTATGCGGGCTACAAATGCATAAATCAAACATTAGAATTAAAAAAATAATTTAATAATTATATGTTATTATATTTCTATTATTTTTTATTTATTTATACTAAATTAGAAATCTGAATGAATTTTTTTAAAAAAGAAAAATTAAAATCGATAATTATTTACAAATGATAATTAATTCAAGTATACTATTTAATAATACAATTTTTCACCATATCCATTACATACAATTTCATTGACACTTTCAAATAAAAACGAATTGATATGATCTTTTTAAAATTTCCTCTATCATAACCTACAAACTCCACACACATATTTTGCAGATCGATTGTGATTCTTTATAGTTCTAGAGGTTATGTTGGTAATTATTTTTAAAAAACTATGTAGAAGAAAAGAGAGCTAGAAACCATGACGTTATTTTAAGGTTGGTGTTTCAACATTTTCATTGGCCCCGTTGAGTTGGAGATTGATAGGATCAAAGATTCATAGTATTGGAAATTTTCTCAAACAAATATCAGCATCATAAGCCAATTATTTTGTTTAAATATATTATCAATGTTTTCTATGTATAAATTTTTATTTTGTTTTCGTATGAAACTCAATTCATAATTTTATCCACAGTTGCTCCTTATATAGTAGCAACAAAAGAATTTCTTTGTTCTCTGTGATTTGTCGATTATTTTTTGTTATCTTGTGGATCATGCAATAAATAAAAATTATTAGAATCACTAAATTTTCATAGTTAGAAAGTATGAGTTCCATAGCACATACAAAATGTAACTGAAATTTAGAAATTTATGTAAAATTTAGATGTTTTATATATATGTTATCGTCACAATAGATCAATAAATTAACATTTACTTTTATTATAAATCTGTGTAAAAATAATATTAAATATTAATTTTGTGTATTTTTGAAATATTTATTAACATATAATATATTCTTTTTATATGGTTGACAGCCTTATCAAAGCCATCGAATACGAACATATAATATTTTTTCTATATTTTAAAAAAAACCAACAAATGAAAGGATTATATTCAGTACAATCTTCATGAATCAATTCATAGAGAAATCCATAAGAAAGTTGTGATTGGTTCCTTATGTGTGCTTTAATAAATTTTAGAAACAAAGAATCAAGTTTGCAATGAGCAGCAGCAACATCAACACTGAACTGCTTTAGACGAAGTAATTTCTTTCTCAGTTTGATTTCATCATCATGCTGAATCCAAAAAAAAAAACCACGAGCCACCAAATGTATTAAGAAACAAAATATGTGACTTGAACCAAAAGGTAAAACGATTAAATTGTTTTCCTTCGAGAGGCTTCTTCATCTTTTGATGTCCTCATGTCTTAAATTTATTCTCTGTTATTACAATACTCTTTGATTGCACTATCTTCTGCATAAGTGTCGTCTCCTACTTTTTCTCTCTTGAAGTATATACTCTGGAGTCATAAAAAGTCACTAAACTAAACCACTTTTAAACACAAAAAACTTATCTTTAGAGACATTTAGATAGAAAAACACATACGATGAACAAACATTGATCAATACTCTGTTTTTTCAGAAACTGCAGGAAAAATGAAGAAGAGAAAGCAGAGGACCACTCCTTAGTTAAAAGTGAAAGGAACCGAGATGTTTGAAGTGGAGGTGGTGTTCGTAGCGGAGGATTCAATGAGAACGTCAGTTGGCAGAGACGACGACGTCAACGATTAACTCTTATTATTGTAATTATGGTTGGCTCGATGAACATAGTATGTTTTGGCCTTTTAGTAGGATAAGGGCACTTGTAAATTTGTAATGAACATTCCACCAGCAGAGTAAATCTTCTCTCTGTAGCTTTCTTTTCTTTTTTTTTCTTTAAAAAATATAACTTTAAAGAACTGATACGGCTTCTGAGTTTGCGAAGGAAACTATCCTTGAGATTAAGGCCATCACATCTTAATTTCCCATCGTGTGATATCTTATTGCCTCCACTAAGTTTTTTTGTCAGATGAAATTGAACCATCTTATATACACAAAATGATCAGTCAGTCAGTAACTTTTAGGCCATAAGATCTAAACATATCGATTAATAGTTTATAGAAGTAAGTAGACAGTACTAAAAGAAAATCACGACTATGGAAACAGTAAATTATTTGTATCTCTAGAGTTAAAGCTGGATTCTCGGCTAGATGCCTAAGTGGCTCAAGTAAAGCCAAACTTACCGCACAAGTAGAAAAGAGAAAAAAAACTATTGCAAGTGTAATAGAGGATATTTTGTAAAGCACAAGCAAAATTATTGTAAAAAAGATCAAATAATAATCACACAAAAAGCATCTTTTTCTGTTTCAGTTTGGAAATTGGTCTTAATATCTTTACAACGACCAAACCAAAATTTGTAACCCAAGAGGTACGATCAAAAAAAACTGATAACATAAATATTTTTATAAACAACATGAACCAAATCCATTTAATACTATAAAGAATAAACAAAATGAAAATATAGTGATGAATCATCACCGATTTAATCCAGAATTGAGGATACTTGGCCATAGAGAACAAAAAATAATGTGAGGATACTTGACTTCGGCGAGTGAATTTGAGATCGGAAGGTGTATAGGTTTATAGAGATTGGTGTGTATAGATTCATATGATGTACTTGTTAGCACTGCTCTCGAATATCCCTTGGGATACAACTTTATTGCCGTAGAGAATATTACAGTGTATTTGTTAGCACTGCTGAACAAATACATATATGCATGATATGTAGAAAATACTTTAGATTCATATTTTCTTCCTCCCATTAAAAAGCTATCTGATACATAATGATTCTCTTTAAGCACCAAGAAATCTTTAACACCCTAGGAGAACTTAGGGAAATGGAGTTTTTCATCGAAAGAAATGACTTCCCAATTGGAAAAAGGTGAAGCAACCATCACATCAACACCAAACTCACATTGTTCTCCCTCGAAGATATATCCATTTTTAGGGTCATTGAATGTTTCGAGTGAAAGGACTTGTGATAATCCCCACACCATTCTTAATGCATTGAATCGCTTCACTTCCAAAATATTAACCTCTGAGTTTCGTGGAGTAATTTGGTATTATATTTAGTGTTCAATCTGTTCCATATGATAGAGTTTAAGCATTCTATTTCTGCATTTAGTAAATAACGAATGTTATTAGGGTTTGTTAGGTTTTACTAAATATCGGTTTTATTAAATTTGAAAGATAGTTTGATTTATAATTTAATGAAGCAAACCAATGTTTCTAAACCAATGCTCACATTCATGCAAACCAATGCTTCCATTTGATCAACACAGCCAAAACAAATATTATTTTGTATTATTTTCACGATCATGTTTTCAAACATTAAAATGCAAGAAATTTAACAAACAAATATACTCATCAATAAAGAATAAAAAAAATGAATCTAAACTATTATTAGATTTTCAAACAATCAAATGGAAATTTATATTAGTCCACGCAAGGCACGGGAAAGTCAACTGTTTGAAACGAAGAAATAAAATATGAAAACAAATAAGCAACAATCAGTAACAAATAGAATGTATATTAAATTTTTGTTTTGTTCTTTAGCTTTATCACCTACCTTGAATCTCTAAGATAAAATGTGATAGTCTCATCTTCGCTGTAACCACTGGTATGTTTTATATTGTATGAAGCATATCCTTCCCATGCGTTGAATTTCCCAACATTAATCACTTCTCCAGTTAAATCTTGTATTGTGAAAAAATAATGAGTTATATGGTTTTCTGAAACAGTAGAATAATATTAGTAAATAATATTTATTTTTCTATACACTAACCTGGTAAGTAATCATTTGAATAAACGCCATTTTTAATCATTTGGAAATCGACGAAAGAAAAGAAGTTCTGATTGCATTGCAAATCTTCCTTTTGTATGATGGTATTCCTTTGGAAAAGAATCTTTGATAGATGTTTAGTAGCTCGAAAGCACCCAGTAACAGGAATAACCTCAAAATTTTGAATTGTAATCCAATTTTCTTCAAATAACCTCTTTGAAAAGAAGTCATAATTTGAGCATAGACCAAACCTTCAATTTTAGAACCCTGCACGAATAATAGAAATGAAGTATGAGGATTCAAGTAGTAAATAAATCAAAGACAAAGAATGTGGTAAATTTTAATTTACATATCAAACATGTTCATCACAAAAAATGGAAGCCAATCTTTTTTCAGAGTTGGGCATAGACTGGGTCCAAACACGAAGTATCTTCACGAAAACAGATGTCTCATACCACCGAGGTGTTAAACAGGAAACACCAAAAACAATTGGATCATATCCAATAGGCTTCATAGTAGGTTCCAAATAACCCTCATTGTTTTTTTCTTGTACACAATCTGAGACTTGTGTCCTAAGTAAAGGAAGATCAACAGTAACAGTTTTTTCTGATGAAGATAAACCTGTGTTGGATATATGAACATCTTCTTCACTGTTAGAAGGAGCATAATCAACATCCTCTTCATCACCATCAGAATCATTTGTTTCATCGTCACCATCACCATCACAATCATCCTCACTATCAGTACTTCCATCATCACAAGAAGAATCATCACCTTCAACAATATTCCTCTTCTTCATTATCACCTTCAACATATTCCTCCTCATCATCATCACAAATGAAATAAATATTGAGCAATACAAAAGAATACGTAGAATAGATATGTTTAATAAGAAAATTCCCAAAATTAATAATCCTTAAGAACAAAAACATGTAACTTTTTAAAAATTAAATATGATAGAAAGAGAAATCATGAGGCATCATGCATCTTAATTAAAAAAAACGACAGATAAATCTCCAAACATGTAAAGGATTCACCATAGTATCACAATTTAACAGAGTTAAGTAAGTCTTCAGAAGACATAACGGAGTACTCTAGTGGCTTGCCTCTTAAAAAACTTCAAAGTACTCAGTATCATCATCAATGAAACATGATTTCCATTGGCTTTTTCTTTAATCCCAGATCCAGTGAGAAGCAAACTTTGAGTAAACTTTTGGGTGATTAGAATTACATTGGAGCCAGCTTGAAAATTGGTTTTCGTCAAACGTAGTTACTGTAGGGTTTGAAGGGTTGTTTACAGCTACAAAAATAGAACGATATGTATATGAGTTTTGTAAGGCTATAATGTATATCTTAATACTTTTTTAGAAATATATTAGTATATGTTTACCTGATGACTTCATGAGTTTTTAGTTAGAATGAAGAAGAAGGAAGAGATTAGAAAATTTTGAAAGTTATGAGAGAATTAGAGAAAAGTGTTTGATATTTATACTAAATTATAAAATATTGATATTTTTGTTAGATTTTATCTAAAATTTGTTAACATAAAAAATGGTAAACATTTAAAAAAAACGTTTTATGAATTTTTTAATATAAAAACGTTTTTGCTTAATTATTTTATAAATTTTGGTTATATATAATTTCAAAAACGGTTTAATTTTACAGCGAAATTAAGCATTAAACCATAATAATTTATACCGGTTTGTTTTAAGTTATTTTTGACATATCAGCAGACAATAACCAATCAAAAAATGACACATAATCGGTAAATTGGGTAAAAATATCTTTTTGTAGCTGAAACTCATTTTAGAACTGACACGTAAACGAAAGACTTTTGAAAATCGCTCTGAGCGCGACACGTAAACAAATCACTACACAAATAAGTATATAGATAGAATTACAAATTCAATATACAAAACTTCCAAAAAAAAATTAATATTTTAATAATAGCAAAAATTATAAATTTAAATTGTATAATATTACAAGTTAAAAACACCAAAACACTTCATCATCTTCTATTAGTCCAGTAAAGTCTTTTTTATTTTTTCCAATAAATAATCTCTTATAATTCAAAATACTCCAAAAAAATATTTGACGAAAGATTAACTCTATGCAGTATTAAGATCAGGATCAGATGAAAGTGACGTGAACATAGAACCTTTAGGGGCCTATATTATGGAACAAACAAACCACACAGCACTAAGCCTGTGAGACATATATAAAACAAGAATAACTGGGTACAAATAACATTGCTAACAAACAAGAGTATGCGTGGAAAAAGCACTTTAATGCAACATAAAAAGAGTCAGTTCAAATTAATGATTCACTCTATCCGAACAATAAAAATATGATCCGCTATACGATCCAGAGTAGATATACTCTATAAAAGTCTTACGAACTCTCTCGGAGCAATGGACAGTCACAATCACATTCACACATATTATCATTTGACCTAATTCTCTCGACGGTTCACAAAACACAAGTTTTTTCTATCTAAACATTAACCCACTCTGAGATTTTGGATCCAACCAAATACTCGATTTTCGGTCATCTTTGGTCAGAATCATCATAATTCTCTCACATTTCCATTTTCTACCAAAAACATTTAAACATTGATTTGTACATGCATTTAGTTGGATGAGTTTACATTGTCGTGATCCAAATAACATTAGCATTCATTCATATTTTTAAAATTGTTATCTATACACTGTAGTATTTCTAGATGATTTAAATATGTTAAAGAAAAGCCCTAAAAACTAAAGAAAAGCCTTATAACCCTGTCCGGATCAGTCGAGTCTTAGAATATAGGCGTCATTTTTTTTTGGGATGAGCTCAAATATATATGGATTTTGTAGGTTTTAGACGTAATTGGCTCAGACCAGCCCGATTGACATACATAAATCACACCCAATATAAGAGACTTCTCTTGGTAAGGTTTTGTGTTTTGGTTTCGACGGACCACTATACATATATTCTTTAAATATATAGATTTCTAAAATAAAGTAAAACTAACTACATTATTATTATTTTTTTATCTAAATTCTTTAATCCAAAATACTAAACACTAAGATCATGTCCAACTCTGAATTCCATATTGGGGTTCTTTGGAATTTTTTAAAATATTTTCTTTTTTTGAACAGTAATGAATCAGGAAAGAGAAATGGCTGATAAATTTTTTTCCACACACATTTACTTGGCGACGAATAAAACATTGACAGCTAGCGATGTCCTACACATACTTACCTGAAGACGAATGAGACGCTGACAGCTAGGGATGAAACTCTTATGATACAGGTTCATTGGGTTCGATGGGAAGACACGGTTTCATTGAAAGTTAAGCTTTTTGATTTTTAAAAAAAAATCTCAAAAACCCTTTGGACCCCACTGATGAACCTCTATTGAACCTGCATTGGAGGTGGTCTAAGTGGACCTCATTCTGGCAAACAAAGTTGTCTGAAGTCCAAACAGCAAAAGATCCACTTAGTATTTGGCTTTTGTCGGGTACTTAATAGCTTAAAGAAATTTTCGTATTAAGTACTAGAATACTGGATACAACAGACCATGTGACATATATGCAATTAAATTTGCAGACATTTCATCTAAGATCATCAGATTATCCAAAGTGAGTTATGGCTTCTATGGGAAAGCGGCATATTCGTGCCTCAACTGACTTCCCTGGTACGATTTGCTGCCTGTATTCTTGAGTTGTGCCTACACATACCGCAACTCTTAAAAATTTGAATTTTCATGCCTGTACCGACATTCGTTTGGCTAATTCATGCCTTGACTAATTCTCTGTTAGTCAACTCCTTGATCAGAGAAGATGAAGCTCCTCAGTCGTCCTCTGATCTTCTCTGATCAGTCGTCCTCAGCGAAGGCAGTTTTCTTACCGCACCAAAGAGATTTTACCTCTTGTTTCTTCAGAAACGGTTTGTAGATATGATTCTTCAGATCCTGTTTGGTCTCCATCTCCAAATCAAGGATAAATTGTCGAAGGTTGCCTTCGTACCTGGAATATACCAAAAACATCACCCAATGTGCTCTTGATAGCAAAACAGTCAAAAGGCAAACAGTTTAAGTCCCTTACCAAAGCTTCTTTGCAAGTTTGTACCTAATATGCAAATGTCTCAAAGTTCAGATTTCAGAGTGCTATGATCCTCATGTAACATGACAATTTTTTTTGTTTACAAACTTTGGGACATTTTTAGAAGTGTTATACCATATATGATTGAATTTTTCATTACAAATAATTATTGAACAAAAACAGATCGACGACTGATCTCTAGACTCCGGAGTGAAATTGTGTGATTAATGGGCATCTTGTGTAAGAACTATCGAGATATATTGAATAGAAAAAAAAAAGAATATAGTAAAAATGGATTCAAATTTTGTCGATGTTCTCGGAGACATTCTTCATACGTGGACGAACTTCAGGGTCACCTTCGGTACAAGCAAGAGCGAGATGGAAAACGGACAAGACTTGTTGCTTGGCGTGAACTTCTTGTAGCAACATTGGATCAACCATATCAGACAACGGAGTCTCCTCTTCAAACCCTTTCCTCACCCACTTCACCAAATCCGGCACCTCAACAACCACCGTCGACGACGACGAGGAAGAGCTTATGGGAGACGAATCCGGCGATTTCCCGGTAAGAAGCTCCATGAGCACGACACCAAAGGAGTAAACGTCCCATTTCTGTGTGGGCCTGCTTCCAGGGAGACGAGCCTCGGGTGCTTTGTATCCGTTAGATCTGTCTGAGGGTTTGATGGAAGTATAAGGGAGAGCTCCGCCTAAGAAACCGCCGGTAGCGGAGGAGGTCGAGGGGTCGTTGGAGGAAGAGGAAGCGGCGGTGATGGTGATGAGACGTGTGAGACCGAAGTCGGAGATGTGAGGAGTGAAAGATGAGTCTAAGAGGATGTTTGAAGGCTTGACGTCGCCGTGTACTAACTTTCTTGGGCTGCACTCGTGTAGATACGCTAGTCCACGTGCCGCTCCTTTTGCGATCTTTAGTCTCGTTGACCATGTTAGGCTTGGTGATGGTTGACCATTCCTCCCTATTTTAATAAAAATAAAAAAAGAAGCAATAATGTAATTACGATGAGAAAAAGACGGGTCAACTAAAGGATCCAGTGAGGTGGGTATGTAGTAGAATCATTACTCGTAGCCCACAAGTCATCTCTCTCTCCTACTCCAATACATATCTCTCATCATTGTTTCTCTGAGTCTCTTTCCTTTACTAATTAGTAATTACTTCTACTCTACGACTCTACCATATACTAAATCCTGGAGCATGTTTTACTTTACATGTTACTTAACTACAATAAAAGAAAATTAAAGAAATCTTAGTCCACTTTTAACAAAAAAAAACATGTTTAAGACAAAAAATTGGAGTGTGTGTAGATAAAACAAAACTAAAAAGCTTGAAGGATTAGTAGATGGGATCTTTTCACCACTTCAAAGCAAAAACAAGATCTTGACCCTACAAACAAAGTATGTCACATCTAACCTCAATCTGACGTCAACATACAGAGGCGTTGACAAAGTCAACCCATAATTTATTTCATGGTCAATTCAATTGCATATAATCCTATCACTGGTTCAGTAAATTAAATTCAATCACGTAGTGGGTAAAGTAAAGGTCTTACCTCTAAGAGCATCAGCTAAACTGCCATTATTGACAAAGTCACTGATCAAGAGTTTCTCATCAGGAGCCCAATAATAAGCTCTTAGCTTCACCACATTAGGATGCTTCACCTTCCCCATCGCTTGAACCTCCGTTACAAACTCCTTATACCTCTGTTCTCCTCCTTCTCCAAGTCGCCGTACAGCCACCGGAACTCCGTTCCCGAGCACCACCTTGTACACTATCCCCAACCCACTCTTCCCAAGAACATACGCAGAAGCTCTTAGCAACTCGTCTAGCTCGAACGAGAAACCTTTATCGATCGCTACAAGCTCTCCTTCTCCTTTACCCTCTCCTCTCTCGTTATCTTCCGCTTCTGAATCGTCTTCTTTAGGGAACCCAGAGATGCAGCAGCAAGGTTTTCCTTTCTCCGAACCACCGCCGAGTTTCTCGTTCCCTGTGCAGCTGCATCCACCGTCTGTGTCTTTTTTCTTCCAGTACAAGTAAACTATCACCAATCCAATTAGGGCTACACTCGCGGCGTCCGCCACCGAGATCAGCACGATTAGTCCCGTGCTTAGCCCTTTTCTGGAATCCGCATTGTTCCCCGGCGATTTTCGAGTTTCCGGTGAGTTTTCGTCGGTGTTTTTGCACGATTTCTGGAGAGGGAATCCGCATAGTTTCGGGTTGTTGAGGAATGCGGTTGGTCCTTGGTTGGAGAATGAGCCCGTTTGAGGAATTTCTCCGGTCAAATTGTTGCTCCGGAGATCGAGAGAGACAGTGACAGGTAGGTTTCCTAGGGAATTGGGGATTTCGCCGGATAAATGGTTAAAGGAGAGATTGAGAGTACCGGAGAGCGATTTGAGTTCCCCGAGATCTTTGGGAATCGAGCCGGTAAATTCGTTCGAAGAGAGATCGAGCTGCGCGAGATTCTTCAGCTCCGGCCAAATTTCTCCTGGAATCTCACCGGAGAAGTTGTTCGCGGCGAGAATCAACCGTTGAAGCTGTTTACACTTCTTGAGATCCGGAGAGAGAGCTCCGGAGAGCGAATTTCCAGATAAATCGAGATTCTGAAGCCTAGGAAGGGTACAGATCGAAGGAGGCAGAGAACCAGAGAGATTGTTTCCGTAGAGGAAGAGACTATGAAGCGCCGTCGCATTGAAGAGCTGAGCCGGGATCGAGCCGGAAAGCTCGTTGTTGTGGAGGTTGAGACGGCGGAGGTAGTTGAGCGAGCCGAGCTCCGACGGGATGTAGCCGCGGAGACGCTTTCCGGCGAGTGAGATTCCGACGACGCGAGAGCCGGAGGAGTCGGAGATGTTCATACAGGAGATGCCGGACCAACGGCAAGGATCGGAATTGTTGTCGTTCCAATCGGAGAAAGCGGAGGAGGAGGCGGTAGAAGATTGATCGACGGCGGATTTGAGAGAGAGTAGGGAGATGCCGTCGGGGGAGAGAGAAAGAGAAGGAGAAGAATTGATGAGATGAAGAAGAAGGTGGAGAAGAAGAGAGAGAATGATCATTTCTCTGGATTTTTGTTTTTGTTTTTTGGAGGTTTCTTCTTCTGTTTTGTTTCTTACTCTCACTCTCAGAGTTTAATTAAGAGAGAGTGAGGTTTGTGGAATTAAGACGATGGGTCGAAGGAAGGTGACGAAAGAATGGGAGGATTGGTTTGGTCGTGGAAGGGTATTTATTTATGTTAGTTATACTTTTTTATCATTTTTGTAATCAATTAATCATAATTTCAACAACATTATATCAGTTGTTTAATAGTTGAACTATACCTTAAAACAAATATTTTTGTCAGTAGGAAAACTTGTATCTTACTACTAGCTCGCTATAGTCTATTACTACTATGATCCCACTTATTTTTTGGTTATCTACTTTGGCTCTTGTAATAAAAGCTCATGTATATATTTCACTTATTTGTTTAATAAACTTTTAATTTTTGAAGTCAACGCCAAAATGCATTTATTTAGGGCAAAAAATGATTACTAAAACATTTCATGGATCACCTTAAAATACAATTTCACTATTTCGCATATTATCAATAATAATTATTTTTTAAAATTATTGGAATCATGATATGAATAAAAAAATTTTGAACTATAAGATATCAAAATAATTTATATTTATATTGTTGAAATCCAATATTAATAAGCATTTGGACCTGTAATATTGAGTTTGTGTATGAATAAAATATGAAGTTTAATAAGCAAATAGGTCTTATAAATTCATTAGAGATTTGGGTTTGAGCCTATGGAAATGAAATGTTTTTATTGGCTATAACTAAAAGTGGAAGTTTAGTGGAAGTGTATTTGCCCCACATTGCTCATAAAGGAGAAAAATCTCTTATATAAATATGACCTTCTCACAATAAGGATCAACAGCATTGTGGAAGTAAAAGAGCATTATGTAAAAACACATACGCGCGCCGCCGCCGTCGCCGGTGCCGGTGCCGGTGCCGGGCTCGGGCTCGGGCTCGGGATCGGGCTCGTTGCTCGTTGCATTTTTTAATTGGCTCTTAGGGCTCTTGGGCTCTTGGGCTCTTGGGCTCTATATAGCTGGGTGTGGGTCGTGGGCTTCTTAGTTCCTGCGAAATATTTTTTGCATATTGAAAGGATAAATCTTAGGAAATAAAAGATTGCGTCCAGATAATAACGGAAGATTTCCGAATCCTTTTACTCGCGGAAATAGGAGAATATTTCTAATATTCCTTTTCGCAAAAGCTTATTCCTTGCGGATCAAGCTGAACCTTCCAGTATAAATAGACGCCCTCTTCTCTCATTCTATATCATCGAATTAAGAATCGAATTTTCGAATACTCCAAACACACAGCAAATCCCTCTCGTCTTAATATCGTAAGTGTCTCGAGAGTTATAGCGTAGTATTTTAGTTCGCAGATTCTATTACGGGTGTTGCGTAATAGTCTCATCACGGTTGTATCCTGGGATTCAAAAATCGCAACAAACCGCCACACATTACGGGCGATTTATTGAGTTAAGGAAAGAGATCATATCTCGACTCCGTGTTTTCGTCTGTTTTCAATCGGTTTTCAAACTCTCGTTTTAATCTCTTACCTTAACATATCGTTTATAATATTGCTATTTTCTATTCGTGATTTCAATCGGATTTTCGCGGTCTTACAATCTTAACTCAATAAATCCGCTTCCTGCTTATCGCTTGAATCGGATTGAATTTAGCGAAACAGTTCTTATAAACGGTTTTTGAGAAAATGAGTTTTTAAAATCGATCTACAAAGTGTCTGCGAAAGTTTCTTAGCTATTTCGTAGAACTTTTGATCTGTTAAAGACGAATCTTCTGAAACGGTTTATGCGGTAGTCTTAGACAGGCCCGAAAAACGTGTTAGGGTTTAAGAACGTCATCAAAAGACGATTCTGGGAACACCTATTTTCGAGTTCTAAGAATACCTATTGGTAATATCTGTGGAAACTCAAAGCGAATCCTTTTCGGAAAAACGTTGTTCATAGCGACTTAAACGTTTTAATTGCTGATTTTGAATCTTGGTTCTCAATACTAACTTCGGTTATCTTCTGTGAACAGATTCAACTATGACTGATGGTGATGTCAACATGACTACCAATGGAAGCTCGGGTGAAGTCAGGATGCCAGCGTCGGTAACCGCAGGACTTCAGCCCGACAAGTTCGATGGTTCGAACTTCAAGCAATGGCAAGAAAGGATGCACTTCTTTCTGTCGTCAATGCAGCTGAGCAAGTACCTCACAGAGGATCCCCCAACAGTGCCAGACAGAAACAAAAATGTTACGATTCTGGCTACCGTTGAAGCATGGAAGCACTCAGACTTTCTATGCAAAGGGCACATCAAAAATCGCCTGGTGGACCAGCTTTTCGATGTGTACAGTGAGGTCAAAACTTCCAAAGAACTTTGGGATGCTTTGGAAAAGAAGTACAAGTCGTACAATGTCGGCTCTGGGAAATTCGCTACAGCGAAACTCCTCAAGTTTGAGATGGTGGATTCTCGTCCCATCATGCCACAAGTGCACGAGCTGGAATTAATCTTTCAAGAGATTAGGACTGAAGGAATGAAGCTATGTGAGACATTCACGGTGAACTGCTTCAATGAGAAGATACCTCCAAGTTGGGCAGACTTCCAGAACTATCTTGCTTACAAGCTAAAGGCTCTGTCTCTGGCAAATCTGATCTCCAGATTGCAGAATGAGTCACTAAAACGTGACAAAGTTGGAAAAGAAGATGGTCAGATCATGACCCATGATGCAAACGTGGCTGAGTACAGGAAAAAGGGCAAAGGCAAACCATCCAACAAGGCTGTGCCTAACAAGTTTCCTCCACGAAACAACACTAGCTTCAAGAAGCAAGGTCAAGCACCCATGAAAAACAAGTTCAATGGGAAGTGCAACTACTGCGACAAGCTTGGACATAAGTCTTCAGAGTGTCGCCGAAAGGCTAAGTCTGAGAACAACCAAGCTCACTTGACTGAAACAGACTTGTGTGTAATGGTTATAGAGGCTAACTTGGTGGAAGAGAACCCCAAGGCGTGGTGGTATGACACAGGTGCAACCACACACATCTGTATTGACAGAGAAATGTTCAGTACCTATCAGAAGTGCAAGACTGATGATCAATTGAAGATGGGAAACGTCTTCCAGTCCAAGATTGAAGGTACTGGAAAATTTGTATTGAAGATGACTTCAGGCATGGAGGTTACTCTCAACAACGTGAAGCATGTTCCAGACATGAGGAAGAACCTGATCTCTGGTACTCTAATGAGCAAGCATGGTTTTGCAATCAACTTTGAGTCTGACCAGCTGATACTTAGGAAGAATGGTGTTTTCATAGGAAAAGGTTATGTTAAGTCAGGATTGATCGAAATGTCTGTAATGACAATCCTGAAGAAAAACAAAGTTGTACCTGATTCCAAAGATTTAATTAATAAGAATCCAGTTGCTTATGTGGTTGAGTCTTCTAATATTTGGCATGAACGTTTGAGACATGTTAATTACAAGTCTATTCAAAGACTGATGAATTTGAACGTGATTCCAAAGTGCAAAATTAGCAAAGACAAATGTGAAATTTGTGTCCAAGCTCACGAAAACACCATCACCTCATGTTGAACGAACTACCGAACCTCTTGGGTCTGTGCGATTTAAAATATCTACCATCAAGAGGTGGTAAAAAGTATTTTGTGACTTTCATTGATGATTGTACAAGGTACTGTTACGTGTATTTGCTGCGTAGTAAAGATGAAGTCTTGGACAAATTTAAAGAGTACAAACTCGAAGTTGAAAAGCAACTGGCAAAGACCATCAAAATGGTCAGAAGTGATAGGGGTGGAGAATATGATGGATCTTTCAAGGAGTTTTGCCAGATAAACGGAATCATCCATCAAACTACAGCCCCTTATTCACCTGAATCCAATGGAGTTGCGGAAAGAAAGAACCAAACTCTGAAGGAGATGATGAATGCAATGTTGTAGGAATCCGGGACACCCCAGAATCTGTGGGGGGAAGCACTGCTCACCACAAATTATATCCTCAACAAAATACCTCATAAGGTAACTGGCAGAACACCGTATGAACTTTGGAAAGGTAATGTACCTTCGTAGAAATACCTGAAAGTGTGGGGGTGCTTAGCAAAAGTCGCAGTGCCACCTCCAAAGAAGGTCACAATTGGACCTAAGACTGTGGACTGTATCTTTAACGGATATGCTCACAATAGTAGTGCTTATCGATTTCTGGTACAAAAGTCAGATGTATCAGATGTCCAAGTGAATACTATCATGGAATCAAGGAATGCTTCTTTCTTTGAACACATGTTTCCATATAAAGATAAGCAAACTACTAAACGCACTCGTGAAGAAAGAGATGTGACTACTTCTGTAAATGAGATGGAAGTAGAATAGGTTGAAGATGAACCTCGATGAAGCAAAAGAGCTCGTAAGGAAAAATCTTTTGGTGAAGATTTCATGATGGTCTTTCTTGTCGAGAATGAACCAAGATCTTACACAGAAGCCATGTCTACACCAGAAGCTCCTTATTGGAAGGACACTGTCAATAGTGAGATGAGTTATATAATGCAGAATCATACCTATGAGATAATTGACTTACCTCAAGGGTTCAAAGCACTAGGGTGTAAATGGATCTTCAAGACCAAGCTGAAAGCTGATGGTTCGATAGATAAGTACAAGGCACGCCTTGTGGTGCAAGGATTCAGACAAAAAGAAGGTCTAGATTTCTTTGACACCTATTCTCCAGTTACGAGAATAACTTCGATCAGAATATTGATTGGCGTAGCAGCCTTGCGAGGCTTGGAAATCCATCAGATGGATGTTAAAACTGCCTTTCTAAATGGTGATTTAGAAGAAGAAATATACATGAAACAACCCGAAGGTTTCGAGGTTAAGGGTCAAGAGCACAAAGTGTGTAGACTCGTGAAATCATTGTATGGACTGAAACAAGCTCCAAAACAATGGCACGAAAAGTTTGACAATGTGATGATGTCAAATGGTTTCAGCATTAACGAATGTGATAAATGCATCTACTACAAATGTACTCCAAACGGATACATCTTACTATGTCTGTATGTAGATGACATGCTGATTATTGGCAGTAACAAAGATATCATTCAACAAACCAAGAACATGCTCAATGGGAAATTTGACATGAAAGACATGGGACTTGCAGATGTCATTCTTGGGATTAAGATCATTCGTACTTCAGATGGAATTACTCTGTCTCAAGATCACTATGCTGAAAAGATCCTAGAGAGGTTTAAGACCTACTCGAATGGAACCGCAAAAACTCCAATGGATATGCAAG